TAGTCATCCTTCTTGACGGTTTTTTTTAACGGATTCTTCTTGTAAAAGAAATGCCCTTTAAGGTTTAAAATACCTGCCTCAGACGAGCGAACCTTCTAAGTAAGCAGAGACAAAGAGACAAGATTTCAGGCTTGACCCTAATCAAGAAGCAATGTGAAAGAATGAGGTTCATCAGGTTTTGTGTGCTTCTAGTTTGAAGAGGAAGAAGAAGTTACTGCAAATCCACTTCACCCAAACATTCACAGCCTGGAGGAAAATAACAGCTTTTACGTTTTAACATGTTCATTTTTTATTCTTTGATCATTTCACTGAGTTTTTATACATTTTATATCGTCTATAACAAATACATTTAAAGGCAGAGAAGCTACAACATTCTGAGTTTAATAATATAGGAAGACACAGTTCATCATGTTCTTTAACAGTTGCATTCCAACACAACACCCAGTGATTAATCTTTTGTTGTTTTTTTAAAGACTTTGGGCGCCCCAGATGGCCACGAGGGCCGCGCCCACAGCAGCAGTGACAGGCAGCTGCACAGATGTGGCTCCGTTACAGCAGTCAGTCATGCAGCAGGTCCTGGTCACCGTGTAGCCGGCGGTCAGGAGAGTCCCCGTTTCAGTTTGGTTGCAGAGAGTTGAGTTCAGACAGCCTTGAGTCTCCCAGCTCAGCAGACTACTGATGTTAAAGGCTGGAGGGGGGGGGCGAGGGGATAAAGAGCTTTGGTTAGCCGTTTTATTATAGGGTTAGGGTTAGGGAAAACAAAAAGCAGAGATAACTTTGTCTGTGACCCGGTGAGTCATTAGTGGAGGATGTATTCAGATCCTGTACCAAGCTAAAAGTAGAAACACCTAACAGTCCTACATTCAAAATATCACTCAAAAAGAAAATCCTTTAAGTATCAAATTGACAAAGTTTGTTCAAATTCTGACATTATTGTCAGTGTTGAAATATTCAGCTCATACTAAACAACAACTGTCAGCAAAAAGCTTTTTAAATATCATTAAATGTGTATGTGTGTGTGTTTTAAGACGCCACAATATAAAAAAATGTTTGAAATGTTTGATCTGAAATGTATTATTAGAGAGATAGATACTTTATTGATCCAGAGGGAAATTCAAAGCATCCAGCAGCAGGTTACAAAGACATGACATGAAACATCTGTTACAAATTAAACCACAAAACTGACGCCCCCCCCCCATACATATATATTAACCTGAAGAAAAGATTTAAAGAATACCTCTAGATGAATCAAACTTAAACTGTGCAATTAAAAATAGACTTATACAAGAAGTGTACATAACCTGTGCAGGGATAAAAATATATGTGACATTTAAACAAGAACCTAAAAACAGTTGAAGAAAAAAATCTGTAATTAGACCTGAATATAAAAAATAAAAATATAAAAAGTGTTGACCTCCTGAAGTTGTGTTGTTTATATATGTACAGCAATGTTTAAAAAGCAGATTTATCAAAAACAGACATTAAATAACAGGCAGTGCAAACATTAAATTAAAGGTGTGATGTAAGTAATGGAGGTGATCAGTGCTTTGGGCATGGCATGTATTGTGTTCACAACACAAACAAGTCAATGGCAGAAGGGACAGAGTGTTTAAGCACATTGTCCTGACTAACTGACAAACACAAACACTTTAATGACTGAACGTGGTCTTTCATGTTATAACACTAAAATTCATTGTTAGCTCTCATCATGACAACAACCCATAAACCCAGGACATTCCTGTGAAGACAACTTGACCCCGAGCGTGAACAGTTCAAGGCTCAGGAGTTGTTAAAGAGACTGTCTGACCTTTTACACTGAAGGTTAGGTCGTTTTCTTTTTCTTCTGTTTGACACTTAAGTATTTGGTACTACTTTTATGTCTGTATGGTAACCATGACGCCCAGAGGCCACTACTAATCAACAGTCTATGTTATCGACAGGCAAGGCATGCAATTGGTTCACGCTCCAGCTCCATGCTGCAGGGGGCCCCAAAGAGCTGAAAAACTTTAATCCGCTGCAGAGAATCAAAATGTGAAAAGTTTGCAATGACAGAAAAGTCCCGCCTTACAGAACTCACTCCTGATGCACTGCTAATCAAAACTTGCATTATTCCTGTAATAACCTTTGTTTGTTAATGAAACTAAATTAAGGAAAATGAAGAGGAGTAATCTGTCTGGGAGTAAAAAAGAAAAAAAGGGGGATAAGAGGCGGAGGAAAAAGACAGCATTAACATTTACATAACAACAAGTCAACTTGTATGAATACAAATCTGGAAATTTAAGACATTTTTAAAAAAACGTCAATGACTCAATCGTAGATTAATCTTTACATAGTTATTTTTTTTGGGGGGGGGGGAATTTATATTTAGGCTACTTATTGGTTTATGTAGGCCAGGGATGGGCAACTTTGGTCACGGCAAGGGCCACATTCAATTAATTCTCCCTGCCAAAGGGCCAAATTGTAACAATAAATTTGGCCCTTAAAAACAATAAATTATGAATCAATTATAAAAAAAATCAATTATGTCTCAAATTTAACTCAACATATGCCAGTGATCAAATATTATTATGGACATATTTCTGGTTTTCATGAATTCATGGCAGATTTTGTCACATTTTCTTCATGTTTCCAATTCATTGATATGTAAAAATTGACCTGAGGGCCACATTGAGGGTTGATGGGGGCCGCATGTGGCCCACCCCTGATGTAGGCTATTTATTCATTTATTGGATCTTGATAAGGAAGGTATTTTATAAAGCCCGCACATTAATCTGCACTGTCAGGTTATTCAGCTTCAGCAGCATCAAATAGTCTGTTGTATTAAATCTGTTCCTCTGGTTAACATTGTTACAACATCCACACACAAACATCTAGCCTCACTCCTCACATTCATTTTCTGAAGAACTGAGAATGACCTGTAAAGGAGATGATCTGTCAAGTGTTACTCACCCAGTCTTCCGGAGTAGCAGCTGGTCTGAGACTCACTGCAGGTCTTAGTGGATGGAAACAGACATCTACCCACAATGTTCATTCTGCAGGTGTTACAGATCAGAGACTCACCTGGGAGGAAACAGTGACACTTTATACATCAGTGATATTTTAAGTGTACTCTAATTTGAATATTTCACCCCTTCACCTTGCTGTCACAATGCCTTCTTTGCATTAAACATGTTTATAAAGTCAACAAGAACAAAACATTAAATAGCCACAACAAAATTCACTTTAAACATTTAGTGTTAAACTGTTTGTCAGATTGTTTTAACCTCTAAAAGAACATTTAAGGTGCGCCAGTAGCCTTGTGGTTAGTGCGTGCACCCTACAGACAGAGGAGTACTCCAAGCGGACGGCCTATAGGTTCAAATCCGACCTGCGGCTCCTTTCCTGCATGTCATCCCCCACTCTCTCTCTTTCCCTATTTCTGACTCTTTCCACTGTCCTATCTCTACAATAAAGACACAAAAAGCCCAAAAAGAAATCTCTAAAACAAAAGACAATTAAGGATACAAGTTTTAAGGAATTTAACCAAATGTTCCTGTTCATAAATATATAAATATATATATATATATATATATATATATCTGCTAAAGAATTTGCTGTTTGTTGCTCTTACCTGTAACAAACATTGCCGTCAATGTTGCACAGATCCAGATGAACTTTTTCATCTTGTTTCTTTGCAGATTCAGAAATTTTCGGCAAAGTTAAGAGGATGGGAATGAAAAAACAGTTGGTGGAAGAGACTTTCAGTAATCCAACATTACACAAGCATCTGCAGTGAAATCAGCTCCTGCTTTTATAGGCTACATGGTTTGGCGTCAGGGCATTGAATCGTTCATGGAAAACACAGAGAATAGAACAATGTTGATATTGATATTTGATTAACCCTTTATGCTGAACCCTATTTCAAAGAGCAAACCAAACAGCGATTTGTTTGACATCAGTAAAGTCTAAAGCCCTACAAAAACATTTAAATGATGCTTGAAAACATGACTCATTCCTGTGTGTGTTTACATTTGTGTTTGAACCTTTGTGATGTATTGTTAACACACATAATTATCAAAAGACTTCAGCCCAAAGTCACATGACAAAAAAATAAATATTAGAGCAATGAGCAGACACTCCTTTTACTTTCAAGCAGTGGATAGAATAACATATAATCATGTAGGATTTATTTTGCATCTTAGGAAGTAAAACTAAATGATATGAACTACAAATATTTGTGCACAAGATAAGAAAGAAGAAGAATGAGAAGTAAGCTGAAGGACTAGACTGTGAATGAATAGTTCAGGGTGTTTTATAGGTATAACAGGAGAGGGCTCAACTGTGGGGGGAAACATTTTAAATCAAATATCTGACTCCATTAAGTTCCACCTTTATCAAGGTTTGTTTCATAACCTCTCAACGTGTAATCCAATGTGTTTAAATACAGAAAGTATTTCTTTGAGGCTAAAGGCCACATAACCGCACACCATTTTTTTTTCTCTGAAGATAGTTTTGGTTGTTCTTGCTCAAGTCTTCATGGATCTGGTGTTTTTCCTTTTTCCTTTAATTATTGTGAAAAAAAGGTGAAACCGTTACAAGTGACATAGAGAGGCTAAAGATACATGTGCAGGGATCAAACAAATTGAGAAAAACATAATAAAACAAAAAGACTTGGGTTGGTACCCTGAAGGGTCGTCGGTTCGAGTCCTGCTGCGGAACAAAATATCAAAGTCGTTCTGGTAGCTGGAGAGGTGCCAGGTCAATTCCCAAGTACTGCTGATGTGCCCTTTAGCAACCCACAACAGCTGGTGTGCTCCATGTGTAGCAGCCCCACTCTGACATCTCTCCACCTATGCCCACAGGTCCTGATTGTACACTGATTGTACATGTGTGTATTTCATGTGTGTGAGAAGCATGGCTCTCAATAACAGAGTGTACACCAGAATGTGCCTGAGGGATTCATGAAATAAAAGAAGAATGAGAGGGTGGTGTAGTGATGGATATTTATGGATAGGTGTGTGTGCATGTAGTTCAGTGGAAGGTGTGCGTCTTTGTTAGTGTGTTGTCTGTGCAGACATGAGGTAGAATCATGGGGAATGTTTATTGTGGTTGGTGCGCAGGCAGAGAGAAAAGAAGGCTGTCATTGATTTGAGAAGTTTTTCTTACATTACTAACCCCAGCAATATTTGGTTTATGGTTCTCAAAGCATCGAAAAATAAGATTTAAGAAGATACACCTTCAAATATGACTGTATGATTTTTAAAATCTTATCAGCTTGTTTGTATCCTGACTAAATACCAGAGAAGAATGTATATTTGTTTTTGCTGATCATTTAGTGAGCTGACCTTAAAACCAAAAAAATGTGATTTTCTGCCTTTCATCAGGCTGGTTTCTTGAGTCCTTGAGTCTGAACTTTGGAGTTTTTACCAAACAACAAGCCACATTTTATGTCCTTCTTTGCAAATATTACAGTAAAAAATTTGATTTTAAACTGACAATGTATTTACTTTATATACCTAGTGGATATTGTCACGACATCTTTTTGTTTCATGTCATTATAGATTGTGTCGGTCAAGGTTTTTGTTGTTACTTTATGCTCAATATTTTGACCCTTTTTTTTCCCCTCTTTTTGCAGAAATCTAACAAATTAACAAGTTTTATTTGATGAAAACAACATAATTGTTCTTACATGCAGATGTTGAATGAATATCATTTTAAAGTTTGTGTTTAGCCTTTGTCACATACTTTGCTCAAAGTAAGTGACAAAGAAGGGTATCACACATGAAAAAAAAGTTTTAAGGGAAGTTGATAAATTATTACATTAAACTTTAAAAAAAATCACAATTATGTAAATCTGTCAAATTAGTGAAGAAAGCAATGTATGGATGAGTTTAGTGTTGGGAAGCGCAAACAAAAGAGGAGAGACACAAGTTAGAGTGGAAGCCACTTAAATAAGGTGAGTCCTGATGGACTCAGGTGTAATGGCCTTCCTGACTCCGCCTACTGTCTGCCCAGCCAGGAAGCCAAAGAAACCTGCAGACAGAAGGCAGGGCGTCACACCTTTTGTCTTGCATTGTAACCACAGTATCTGTTGCTCTCCTGAGTCCTGTGTCCTGTAAACTGCACTGACAGGCTTTGACAGTGATGTGGTTTCAGGAGTGACAAGTTTGGCAACCATTCACCTGTTGAGCTTTACTAACAGGTACAAGTTAAACTGTTATACTGTTATGTCAGAGCAACACATTCATTTAAGGGGAAAAACAGGATTTATTATGATCTAAGGTGAACTAACGAATATAATAAGTCAAAGTTTGCACATTTATACTAATCGATTTCTCTTTGTTGCTGCAGCTGAGTAACTTTAGTCTGTGTGTAATCTTCCTCATATGTGAATATTGTTGGTTAGATATGACGATGGGCTGACAGCAGACTCTGTGATGATTATTATGGTTATATGAATCTAACTCCACCCCTTTTATGTGAATGTGTTCTTGGAACCTATTGGTTTACTTATCAGGTTGATAACCAGCTTCATGTGTCCGTTAAGCATGATCTCTTATGTCAGAGTTAGTGAAGATAAACCCAAAGATAGCCTGGGTATGTTGCATGATGTTTAATTAAAAGAGACAAGCACGAGCAACTGATATTCTTCAAAAAAACCTTTATTTTCACATCATTGTATTGTCTCGTGATTCACATAGTAAAGTAAAAGGATAAATAAATTGTGATAACAAAAAACAAAGCAAAACAACGACTGGAAGATTTATGAACTCAATGTTTCCCTGAAACATGTCATTGATCTACTCCCAGGATCTGCACACCTTAATTTTGGGTTTGATATAATTTGTCATAGTTACACCGAGTGATCTGACTTGTGAAAAATAAAGAGTGTCATAGCACATGAGGATACAACTTAACCCATATGATCTAAAAGGGTTTCCTTTGGATTGTGCTTCTGATCTCATTTAAACCTCGTTTGGTGGTTTTTGGTACGAATCGGTTTCTGGAGCGACTGGCAGTATTGAGGTATTTTACAGCATGCTTCCCATCACGGAGGCCAACATAGCTGCACCAATGGCGGCGGTGAAGGTCATCTTGGTGGATGGAGCGCCGCTGACCTGGGTTGGGTTGCAGTTGTCTGTTGAGCAGCAGTCAAGTTTAACCTCGTAGGTCACAGGCAGGAAGGATAAGGTGTTGTTGGTTGTTGTGTTGCAGCCAGCAGGCTCCCTGCAGCCCTGAGTGTTGAAGCCCACAGTGCTTGAAACTGATGGGAACGCTGAGGAGATAAAAAAAAAAATGTGTTAGAAGGGGGAGGTAACTTTGTATATTTCATATTATAAATGTAAAGCAGCATACAGGTAAACTACATCGTGCTGGACTGGATCGTGGTCTGTTCTTGTTGTTCTGTGTGTGATTTTGTCTCTGTGTCACAGGAAGTGATTTGAATCCAATCATGCCTGTGCTGTGGTGTAATGTTTGGATGGAAGAGGTGTGAGGAGATGACTTACATGCTTTCCCAGTGAAGCAGACGCTGGTATTGGTGGAACAGGTTTCCTGTGATAAGCCAACGCAGAAGCCAAGCAGACCATAGCTGCATTGGTTGCAGCTCAGGGAATCCACTGAAACAAACACAAAGGAAACACAAACATTAAAATGAATGATTAAGAAAATAAATGTTTTTTCTGTCTCCATTCTCTTGCCGAGTTCTGAGTTCTAAATGTTCATATCATTGCAGAGTTAATGTTTTTGAACTATCTTTGTTGATGAGGTTTTTTTTTCTTGTACATTGTGACTAATGAACATCAAATCAATAAATAAAATAAGAAAAACCTGTACGTCGAGTATATTGAACTTTCATAGTATTTGACAAATGTTTGGCAGGCTCCATTACTCCAGTTATTTAAAGCTCTCTAATATGACTTTTGATGAAAACACTTCTGAACTCTTTATATTGGCATTGATGTATCTGTAAAAGTCTTTTGTTGACCTTTCATCATGACCTATTGTCAGCTCTTTAAATTCTCAGCGAACATTCTTCTAGGGGAGTCTTAGTGCCACCGCACCTTGAGCCAAACAAAAGTCGTAAGGCCCCACCCAAGATTGCTACACAATCAAACTCTGAGTAACATTTCAAGAAGCCATCCTGTTACTTTTAACGTTTTGAAATCTCAAATCGAGAGCAAACCATCCGGTATTAGAGGAGGCATATCAGTAGAGATATAAACAAGCTGTCTTAAGTTGCTCAAAGTTAAAGTTTCACCTGTCAGAGCTTGAGATATCTGCGTCTTAGACTTTTTACCATCACCCCTAAGTTAAGGAGTGTCTGTTGTGGGGCTCAGAGTGTTGATGAAATTGAGAGAAATCTATCTTTCTGCTGTCAGATATAACACAACTACTTTGTTCCAATCAAGTATTCCCCCTGAAAATTGCAAATAACAGTTTCCGGTGAGCAGCAATGATATTGAGGTTATTTTTAGGGGGCACAATCAAAATCTGTACATTTTAGTATCAAATGTCTCTGAATTTTGGCATACACATCTGAAACCATCAGGTTTGCTGGATATCATCAAGGATGCTCATTATTCAATAAATCAAGGCAATGGCATCATTTTGATTTGTCAGCACAAAAAAAGAAATTCACCTGAGATATGTAGCTTTATATCAAATTTCAATTTCAATTTCAATCAATTTAAGCATTTCCCACCTTAAAAAAAAATCAAGATTCATCTTCAAAAGAGGAAACTTTATAGAGTGTACTTTTCATATTA